AAGGGCCTCTGGAGAATTAAGAAAGGTGAGTGGCATAAATTTGCGACTCAACTTAATAAGCGGGATCGTGGCGATATTTCTGCGGAGTGTGCAGGAATATCGGAGTTGACCGATGAACAGCGTGAAGAAGTTCAACTAATGGTCAACCAGTTGGTACTACCCCTAACGGCAGAGTTAGGAATGACATCCTTAACCGAACATCACATTCGTTTGAGTGATACGGCACCGGTCAAGCATAGACCACGAAGGATGTCACCCATGATTCTTGAGTGGCTCATAAAAGAGGTTAAAAAGTTGTTGGAGCAAGGGATCATTGAGCGTGCTGCGAGCGATTGGAGCTCAGCACCAGTGGTTGTAAAAAAAAGTGATGGTACTTTACGGTTATGTTTCGACTACAGAGATCTGAACAAAGTAACCATCAAAGATGCTTATCCGATCCCTAGTGTGGACTCAATATTGGATAAATTACGGAAGGCCAGTTATATATCCAAAATAGATCTGAAGATGGCCTATCATCAGGTACCAATGTCGGCGGAGAGTAAAAAGTATACAGCGTTTTCAATTCCAGGCTTAGGGTTATTCCAGTTCAAAAGAATGCCCTTTGGACTAACTAACGCGTCTATGACATTTCAGCGGCTGGTCGACTCTTTGTTCGGTCCAGAATTCGAACCAGTGGTGTTCGGGTACCTAGATGATATTATTATCGTGACAAACGATTATCAGGAACATCTTCATTGGTTGGAAATTGTCCTAAAGAAATTGGCTGCGGCTGGTTTGGTAGTGAACCCGAGTAAATGCGAATTTGGTTGTTCGAGGGTCACGTACTTGGGATATGTTTTGGATAAAGACGGTTTGAGGCCAGATCCGGATAAGATAGCGCCGGTTCTGGAATATCCAGCTCCACAAAATATCAAACAACTTCGTAGATTCCTAGGAATGGTAGGATGGTATTCGCGGTTTATCCAGAAGGATAGCGAGCTTAAAATACCACTTTTGCGGCTACTCCACAAGGATAAGAATTGGGTATGGGAAAGTGACCAACAAGAGGCGTTTCAGGAGTTGAAACAGAAATTGGTTTCGGCACCAGTGTTGGCCCGTCCTGATTTCACTAAGCCGTTCACGATACAATGTGACGCAAGTGACTCAGCGATTGGAGCTGTGCTTACACAGGAGACTGAGGATGGCGAACATCCCATTGTTTATGCCAGTAGAGCATTAACATCGGCGGAACGCAATTATAGCGTTACCGAAAGGGAATGTTTGGCCCTATTGTGGGCAATTCGTAAATTTAGACCATATGTGGAAGGCTCTAAATTCAAGGCCATAACGGATCATAGTGCGTTAAAGTGGCTGAGGAATCTGAAGGATCCTACAGGGCGTCTGGCACGTTGGGCATTGGAGATGCAGCAGTGGGATTTCGACATCGTACATAGGAAGGGTGCGAATCACCATGTACCAGACGCATTGTCTCGCATGTTCGATGAAGAAGAGGCCGAGTTAGCGGCCTTCGAGACAATCACAGATCCGTGGTATTTGAAGAGGAAAGAGATGGTCGTTAAGTTTCCGAAGAGGTTTCCTGGCTGGTTGGTCGAAGAAGAGAGGTTATATCGTCATCGGAATGACCCATTATTACTTCCGATAACTGGCGATGAAGTGGGGTGGAAATTAGTGGTTCCACTTGAGTATAGGGCAGAAGTGCTGAAAAACGCACATTCTGAAATTTCGGCGGGACACTTGGGCATTGAGAAAACGTATCAGCGCGTAGCTCAGGAATATTATTGGCCAGGAGTATGGCATGATGTTCAGACGTTTGTCAGGCAATGTCCCGAGTGTCAACGGTTCAAAGTGTCACAAGAAGGACCTCAAGGTCTCATGGGTCAGAGGATTGTGGAACGACCTTGGACCGTAGTGGCGGCTGATTGCATGGAGTTTCCTCCTAGCAAAAGCCAGAATAGGCACTTGGTAGTGTTCCAAGACCTATTTTCCAGATGGATAGAGGTGAAACCTCTGAGATCGGCGGATGGCAAATCAATTGCCAAGGCCTTCGAGGAGTTGATTTTATGCAGATGGGAAACTCCGAATTTCTTGTTGACAGACAACGGGAAAGAATTCGACAATAACCATCTTAAATCAACACTCGAAGAGTATGGTGTGCGTCATTTGACGACACCACCATATCACCCTCAGGCCAACCCCGTTGAGAGAAGTAATCGGACACTGAAAACAATGATTGCTACCTTTGTAGGTTCTGACCACCGTGATTGGGACAAGCATGTGCACGAGTTCCGTCATGCAGTCAACACGGCAGTCCAAGCGACTACGAAGGTATCACCGGCGTTTCTCAATTTTGGTAGGCAACCTAACCCCGTTAAGAGTTTACGGCGGAAGGTTGAAGAGAAACGATTAGTACAGCGCATTGATCCGGAAGTCTGGTGCGATAGAATGCGTAGATTGGACGCATTGCGGGATTTGGTGGCTCGTTTTTTAGACGAGGAAAGGGAGAAACAGGCGAAGTACTATAATCGAAACAAGCGCGAGGCAACGTTTAGTGTAGGCGATCTAGTACTTTGGCCAACGCATAAATTATCGAACGCGAATCAACGGTTCTCAGCCAAGTTGGCTCCTAAGTACGAAGGCCCGTTCGAGATAATTAGGCGACTATCTCCCTCGGTGTATGAACTCAAATCTGAAGATAAGCGGCGAGTGGCCAAAGTGCATGTCTCGGATTTGAAACGATATATACCTCCTCGTAAATAGAGTTAAGTAATGGTTGAGAGTGGTGACTAATATATTTTGATTTCAGATTGGATGCCCAAACGGCGACTGGATTTACCTTCATCATCATCGAAGAGAAGGATGTGGCGAAGTGGCTGTGGCTCCCGTCGGGGATGGAACGGTCGTTCCTCAGCAGTTAAAAAGTCGCTGCCGGAGTTCTCACCTCCTGCTGTGACACCGCGGCTGGACAGGATGGAAGCCCTGGTCCAGAGAGTGTTCGAGGAACGAGGCATTACCCCCACTCAACCGGTGGAGATGGCGGAACTATCTGTTCCTTGTGATAATTCTGTGGCCCGGTTGAGTGGTGAGTTGAATGAGGCTGCAGCTGTTGAAGTGGCTGCTGAGACCAGTGTGGAGGCGTCCACGGACAAAATTGTGGCCACCGGGGCCGTCAAGAAGGTACTTCGTCAGAGGCGTGACCCGTACCAATTGGAACGTGCTCCCGGTGAGAGTGAGGAAGCGTGGGAGAGCCGTTTGGCGGTGGCCGACTTGGAGAGGACGGTGGCTCCGGTGGAACTGTCCCCGGAGAGAAGAGTAGAGCGGCTTCGACTTCGTCAGGAGTTCGAAGTCGAATATCGAAACCGACATCCTCTCAAGTCGGAGAACTATGTAAGTGGTGTGCCGAGGCCCGTGTATAAACCGACGGCGTCTCACTTACCTAAGGAGGCAGGGGTGGCGGAGGTTTGCGCGATCCAAACCTTACCGGCGCCAGCATCTTCAGTGATAAGTGCGAGTGGCAGGAGGCAGTTACCGGCTGTATTGGCCGGTATTATGTTCAAGGGTTTGGACCCAATACTGACGGATCCAAGGTTGGACCCGCCTATGAGGTCCTGCTTCAATTGTTGGAAGAGAGGCCATCGCCTCTCTGATTGCCCAAAAGAATGGGCAGTTTTTTGCAAAAACTGCGGAAGGAGGGAGGTGACCCTTAACACGTGTCCACGCTGCTCACGCGTGCATGCCGAGTTCCTGAGTCAGCGTGATGGGACCTCGTCGTCAAGGCCATCTCAGCGGCTGGTGGAATGGGAGGACCCTCCACCAAGGAACCGTCGTAGTTCGCCGGTTCCTCAACAAGTTGAGCGGCCCCCACCTAGGGAGGAAAACGTCGAGCCTGAGGCTCGTGTAGTGGCGGCGTCTGGTCCAACCCTTCTCGACGAGCTGCGAGAGTTGGACCAACGTTTGGAGGGAGTTCCACAGGAACTCAAAGAGGAACTTAAGTTGGAGTTCCTCAAGGAGCGTCGTAGTCGACGCCACTAGTGTTGATTTTTCTTTTTGGAAGGGAAGAGACATGAAATTCAATTTTAAGTTCAAAGAAATATTAATTCTGTCATCTTCTTTCCTTATTTTGCTATTAAATTTTCATTTTATTAAATAAAATAAATAAAAAGCAAGTTTATTTTTTTTTGTGAACTGTGTTAGAATGCTTACTTCCCCCTTTTAATGGTTTTTTTTCGTGGTTTGGTTTTTTGTGGCTCTTTGTGAGATTGATAGGCGATATTACTGAGAGTAACATCGGCCTAGGGGAGGGGATTGTAACGAAGCATTCGTTAGTTGGGTTTTCGTCTTGCTTTTCTATGTGGCAGTCAAATTCAGTTGCTTTCGCGAAATCTATCGTAGAACTGATGTACGCAGGCGTGACGTACGAACGTTCACGGGGGGCGGCGAATAGGGCCGATTAGTTATTTCGTAGGCCAGGGTTGTCCATAGGAGCGAGAGAGACGGAATCATAGGGATGATACAAGGACCGGCAGGGGGATCTACCAGGCAGTTCAATTAACCGATCGTTAGAGAGCGGACGTGCTCTAATTCTCAATCGTATTTTTATATATCTTTTATTATATCTTTGCTGTAGTTTAGTGTTAAATAAATAGTTTCTTTATATTAAATTTGGGAGTGTTTTGTATTATTAAGTGTTTTCTCCTTTGCGAATTCTTCCTGCAACTCGAGAAGCGGCGTCGGTTAGAGTCAGCTGAGCGTCCTCGAGGTAAGTGTAGTTATTGTTGGCCTGCCTCAACGTCCGGCATCAGATGTTCATATGTTTTGGAGGATCCCCTTGTGAGATTGTTCGTATAATGTGTATTTTGAATTGGCGGGTTTAGATGCCCAATTTATGTTAATTATAAATTATAAAACCCCGTTACAAGCTTTCTATGAGGAAGCAAAATAAGCTTTAACCTCCTAATTGCACACAATAATTAATGAAAATAAATTAAAAGAAAAGTTCTTACCGCAACATAGTTGATAAGTAAATATTTAAGTTAATAAATCTTCGTTCTAATCCATTATAATACTCTAATATGTTGTCTTCAGATATTTTTGGCAAATCAAGTAATTCACAATCTTCAAATTCCACTTTGTCAATGAAAATAAATTCTGAAACGTTACTAAACAATTGATTTATTATAACGTGTAAGCTATTACACAATAACATTTGATTATACACCCAATTAATGTAATTTACAAATTTCTTTGGTGGCTTAAATGAACGTTCCGTAGCTTTCGTTATTAGGGTAAAGCAATTGGCACCTGCAGTAACTAAGTTTTCGTCATTAGCATCAATTTGAGTTAAAATTATTTTCATAATAGAATCCTAGAATGAATATTTGTAATAATTAAATAATTAATAATAAGAAATTTAATTAAAATTGTAGGATAACACTGCATAAAAGAGAAACTGATTTGTAAACTTGTGTTAAAGAATTAATAATAATTATAGAATTTCTAAAATTATTTTACAGTAGACTGAATTCATTTTAAATCAGGTCGGCTGAATTTTTTCGGTGCTAAAAATTTATTTCATGTACGAAATTTTGTTTCTTAATAATTTTTAGACGACACGTATTTTTTTATTTGGCTAAAAAATTTTTTTTTTTAGTCATAATGATTTTAATTTTTGAAGTCGGCAAAGTCATTTATTTAAATATTTGAAGTTCCTATAGGACTAAAAAGCCCTCGAAGGAACAGTACATAATAGAATGTTTATCTTAAAATTAAAAAAAAAATCTTTCAAGTGTCATATTTTTTAGACTAATTGGAATATATGGGCAAATCCACGAAACTTTTAACTTTTGTGATTCTCGAATCGAATACTTAAAAATCTGAATTATTTTAAATTAAAACTTTGGGTTTCATTTGTTGGCTAAATTATATACAAAGGAACATTTATGTACAGTATTAGAACAAAATATTTATTTGACAATTAGTTTTATAAGTTAAAAAGTGAAAAAATGCTTAAATTTAATTTGAATTTCTTGAAAGAGTTTATATTCTTAACGTTTTTATTTTTGCGGCGTGTAAAATATCACTTCAGCTACTATAAAAATATCTAACCGACATATTTTGTCAAAAAATATTCACTATCCTATTAATGTGCCACCACTAAAACTAAAAATACGAAGGTTTGATTGAGTGATAGCACTTTTTAAAAAAATTCAATTGAACGTCTTCTTATGAAAATATCTATTACGACGTTGGATAAAAAAAAAGTCCAATGCATTTCTTAAAAGGTGATGAAAAAACAAAAATTTTAAAACCTTTTTCAGTGATGTGCCTCGAATTGTATTCCTGTAGCAACAGTTTAAAGATGGTACTAAAAATCGTTATTTCATTTAAATTTATACATTTTTGAAAGGCACAACTGCATTTTTGCTTTAAACAGGTCAATCTTTGGTGTGATCGAATCATTTTCATACATATATTTGAACACAAAAACGCCGCTTAAGAGCATTTGAACCTTCGTGACGTCACAAATCATGGCGCATGACACGCAAACTTCTCAGGTATGTGAAAAGCACAATTTTGAATATTTTTTAAAAAAACCTTTTGGAAAATGTTCAGAATAACATAGACTCTGTCTGTTATGTGCGGAAAATTCAAAATTTTGCGTTTAAAACGTTTTTTAAACAATGTTTAAGTTGGTTGTCACAAGTAAGGAAAAATACACGAATTGCTTATATGTAGGCCATTTTTGGAAAGACCAGGATAAAAATTGAAAAATTCTTATGTAATTTATCAAATATTTAAATTAATTTTATTATAAATAATAATAATAATTAAAATTGTTTATTACTAATTAAACAATAAATTGTTGTTGTTTATTTACTTTTGTCAAAAAGCACATATAAAAAATTGCTTTTTTATATGTGCTATCCGAAAAAAGTACATAAATAAAAAAAACAATAATTATTTATTTAAAAAATTGAAAATAATTGGATTTTCAACCTTTTGTACAACATTGAGATGAGTAATTTTAAAAATTCTAAAAAACATGCTATTTTATATTTTCTCCTTTGAAAAAAAGATAAAAAACAATAATTAATTATTTGAAAAATTGAAATACAATTTGAAATTTAATCTCTTTTTTTACAATATTGAGAATAGCAATTTAAAAAATTGTCAAAAAATTGCTTTTTTATATGTACTTTTTGAAAAATTTATATGAAAAACAATAATTATTTATTTAAAAAATTGAAGAATAATCTGCTTTTTAGCCATTATTTTTTACAACATTGAGATAAGTAATTTGAAAAATTCTCCAAAAACTGCTTTTTTAAAAGTGCTTTTTGAAAAATGCAATTTATATGTGTTTTTTTTAATAAAAAAGAATAATTATTGATTTAAAAAATTGAAAACTAATTCAATTTTTAAATATTATGTTTCACAATTTTTAAATTGGTATATTTCAAAATTAGGAAAAAACTGCATTTTTGTATGTTTTTTTTTTTTTTTTTTTAAGTGAATAAACAACAACAATTTATTGTTTAATTAGTAATAAACAATTTTAATTATTATTATTATTTATAATAAAATTAATTTAAATATTTGATAAATTACATAAGAATTTTCCAATTTTGATCCTGGTCTTTCCAAAAATGGCCTACATATAAGCAATTCGTGTATTTTTCCTTACTTGTGACAACCAACTTAAACATTGTTTAAAAAACGTTTTAAACGCAAAATTTTGAATTTTCCGCACATAACAGACAGAGTCTATGTTATTCTGAACATTTTCCAAAAGGTTTTTTTAAAAAATATTCAAAATTGTGCTTTTCACATACCTGAGAAGTTTGCGTGTCATGCGCCATGATTTGTGACGTCACGAAGGTTCAAATGCTCTTAAGGATTTTGAGTGAAACAAATTTTATTAAGTTAAGAATAAACTGAAAACACTTTTTTGGACTATTTACCCCCTCTTTTCTCAAAATTCTGACGTGCTAAGCAAATTTGAGTGCCAGAATCGTGTTCAGAGGACGAAAATACCTTGGAAACCATTCCGATATCAAAAATAATATAAGTTGAATTTTTCAATTTTATATGTAATTTATTAACATTAAAGAGTTTAAAGAGTTAAACATTGACAGCGTGATCTAAAAAAGAATCACGCATATGAATTTGTAGTGCTAAAATGTACTTAAACATGTATACAAAGTGACATCAATGTGCCTGCAAATTAAAAAAAGAAATTTTTTTTTCTTGAAAGTTAAAAGTTACGTGGATTTACCTATATAATTCTTTCTTTTTAGGTCTAAAAGAGCTTTAACTTTTCTTCAAAAATCCGGTAACAAAATTAAAAAATATTGATAAATAACAAAATGGCGGCTATTTTACTAAAAAAACTTTAAATTGAAATTACTCAAAAACCCCACCATTTTTGTGGTTCAAATTTTCATGGTAGATTTTCTTCATATTAAAGAACATTTTCCATAGGAAAACCAGCACGGGACACAAGTTATATTCACTTGTGTCCGATGCTGGTTAAAGAGAAAAAATTTTTTTTTAAAAAAAAATTCACTTTTTCCAAAAAATATACTAGTTATAAAAAGTTTCATAAATAAATGTTGTTCCTCTTTAAAAATTCTAAAACAAATGTACAAATGCACAACAGTAACCCTAAGAACAACGAAATATTAATTATATTTTTGGGCGACCTACGAATATCCATCGATTTTCGGCGGTTTGTATATCCCTGGGATGTTAATAAGATATCCGTGGAACATCTTCAGAACATCAAATAGGGATATTCCAAAAGTTGATGAATATTCATAGGACGTCCAAAGAATATCCTCAATATTTTGTTGTTATGAGGGTTACTGTTGTGCATTGCATAAAATACTGTTTCTAAACTTAAAATATATATATGAGGCAAAATTTCTGAAGTGATATAATTAAAAAAAAAAGATTTCTTAGATCGGGCTGCAATTCGCATAACATTTAGAACTATGGGTAAGTACTTCACCCATAAATTACACGGAGAAACTTTGTGTATAACTTTTTGTTAAACTCATATGTATTTTTAGTAAATTGACTAATACTAAAGTGGAGAAAAAGACAAAATTTCTAATTTAATAGAAGTCTCTTTAACAATATATGATCTCTTTTTTCAATAATAACACGGAGAGAAAAACATTGCGTTTAAAGTATGAAAGTGGTTCATACTTTCCTAGTATGAATTTTTATACGCCTGATGTATGAATTCATGTGTTTTTAGTATGCTGTCGAACATAGTCTAGTTGTATGAGTTTCATATTCTATCGGCATGATAGTCATACAACTAACGATTACGCCACGCCTACTTTCAGCTTGTCTGAAGACTGAAATGACGCATATGCAGTTCTGATCGAGAGTATATCTATTTTCAGATTTTTCTTGCTCCCCGCAAAATTATTATTATTATTATTATCTTTTAATAATCTTTGTTTTCATTCCTTCATTCATTTACATTTTCTTAGCACTTGAAATTTCTCGTTATTATTCGATTATACAATATACATATATATCTTTGCTTTGATAATGAGGGTTCTCGAGGGTTTTTACCTGTAATTTGTTTCTTCAAAAACAGCCTTCGATCGAGGGTTTATTTTCTATTATTGTTTATTAAGATGGTCGATGATCGTTTAATTACTGTCTTGTAAGGGGAAGTGGTGTCCCTCATCTTACCAGCCGCACCCGAGCAATAACCATGTGGTTATATTATTGGAGAATCAAAATCAAGAAGAAAATCTTTGGTGCCAGCACCTTTGGGTTAAATTGGTTTAAAACACAACGTATAGGTTTATTGTACCAAAATTATAAAACTTTTGAATATTAACATTTATATTTGGAACAACATATGCTCGTAATCGTGAAATTCTGAGCAATATGTCAAAATAAATTAAAAAATATTTGAAAGAAAATTACAGGAAAATTATTTTATTTAAACATATATAAATATTAAAATAATCGTGAATTGAATTGATTGAATTGAAAATTGTTAAAACTTAACGTATGGCTTACAGAATTATTAATAATTTCAATCAATTTTATTATTTTTGAACAGATTACCGTGAAAGCGTCATTAGTTCTTTTTGAGAGAATCACCCAAATAAATTTTTTAAAGCGGGAAACTGAAATGGAAGATTTGTTTTGAAAAGTGACTTTACCAGGAGCTTAAAATTTGAAGAAGGTTACCATGTCGAACATAAAAGAGTATTTTATTTTAAGTAATAAAGATTTAAAAATTATTGAATATGTAAATGAAATTTTAAATTATATGCATATGAGAGATTCTTTTTCAATCGCCCCAGCCCAAAAAGTCAATGTTCTGGGATTGGC